AGTGAGAGTAATTGCTCATAATTTTCCAGGCCAAACCAGGTCTCTTAATCACTATTTTAAATCCCCTGAGGAAAAGACTTAATTTACAGCTAGACCCTGGGAGATGCTGGGCATCTGCCATGCTCATTCAAGTAAATGGGAGTTGTAGGTGCTCACCACCTTTCTTGTTCTTTTGTGTATTGCATTTAAAAATAAGAGCAGTCTTGAGCCAGCAAATGTTTCATTACAGTGTGGCAAGTTGACTTAAGATATGTGACTGCCAAGCTGAAGATAAGCAAGTTAGCAGTGGTTAGAGTGTTTTATTGTTGAAAAGATTCTGTGGGCTGGGGTCAGAGAGGTTAGTGTGATATATTTGTAAATGTTGGCAAGTGAGGACTTTTTTGTACCCAAACTTTTTCATGGTTTAAATGAAGTGGTGCAGACCCTCTTGTGGATTTTCCCTCTCTTTCTCATTGGCCTAATCTAAACCAAAAAGTCCTCAAACAGGAGCTTGCTCTTGTTTAACTAAATCAATTTATATTCTTGCTTGTAGTTAATCCAGGATTATTTTCTCTGCAGAACAAGTTTGAGAGTTCTGTTCCTAGCTGTAACACTGAATCACTGTGTATCCTTGGCAGTTTTACTGCTCCCTGCCCCTAGTGTTCTTGTCCATAAGATGAAGATTGTAACTCACATTTTGTAAAGCATTTTGAGATTCTTAGATGAAAGATGCTATGTAAGTGCAAAATTCTTGTTGTATTTGGCATGGACATGTGCTATTGCTTGGATGATGAGAAGCTAGAATGGAAGTGACGTGAATCTCATTTTGTTTTATCCGTCGAGCGTGAAGGATTGTTACTTATCCAATTTTATCCCTGTTCATTTTTCATTTTCCTGATTATGAGTCATAACTTGTTTAATGCTGCATTTTAAAGATAAATATTTGGGATTAATTGAAAATGGCTTTTGGAGTGATTCAAGTCAGGCTGTGGATTCAGACAGCTATCCATCACCACATACTAAGTAAATAGGTTCCACTTCCTGTCTTGTCACAAAATTCTGTCCCTAAGTGGTACAGATTCTCTCCCTGTAGGAAGGGGAAAGCAATGATGAGACCTTGATGCCCAGGTTCTCTGATTGACAGCTCTGCCTGCGTCTGTGTTGACTATGAACCCACTGAAGAAAAAGTAATGAAAGGGTCACACGTTGGTCGTCCTTATACCCGTGTAAATCAGGAGTACACTGAAATGGAGGTAAAGAAGGTAGAGATGCACCTTATAGACTAAGTCAGATAAGGTAATGGCATTAGACCAGCACAAAACTTTTGGGAGATAAGAATTTGACTCAATTTCTTTCTGGTCTGCTTGGTTATTAATTGACCATCACAAATACCATGGGGTTGCATTTTCCCCCCCAAAAGCAGTTGGTTTAATGAGCTTTTCACCTGGTTGAACTGTTCTCCTTAAGCTTTTATGGTATGTTTAACATAAAGATGAATCTTGTTTTGCTTGGATGGCCTAGCTGCAGCATCTGTTGAACTATTAAATGAAGAAAGCAAGGCTGGAAAGGCCAAGGACCTGTATGAACGGAGAACAGATTGGCATGTGGATGCTCGGTATAGTTGGGTCTGTGTCAACCTCACTCCTTTATGTGCTTAATAGTGACATGGGAGCTGGGCCTAATCTGCCCTGGGCTGAGTATCCTGTGTTGTATTATTCATATCCTGCTTGGACCTCCTCAAACCAACATATGCATATACCTCATGAGGCCATCCTATCAGGAGAAAATTTAAACCAATCCAATAAACTAAATTAAAGTTTTGGCAGTTAGGGTCCAAAGTAGATATGTAGAGCTTCCTGCAAAAGTAGTACAGCTTCCCTCGGGCCTGACTTCCTTTCCAGGTTGGAGAAAGTTGACACATGGCTGAACTTGGGTGTGAATCCTGAAGCATTTTCTCTGTCCTTGAATTACCTTGTGTTCTGACTGGCTTTGGGATGATGGAGACAGTATTTCCAATGTAACAAAATGTTTATTGTAATTCTTACTCTCTCTTTTGCAGGGGCACCCTGGTCAGCCAGGACCCAGAGGTCTACCTGGCCTTGATGGCTGTAATGGCACTATTGGGAGTCCTGGTGTGCGTGGGGAGGATGGACTTCATGGTATACAGGGGCCACCTGTACGTTCTCAATGTTCTCTAGTCACTAAACCAAATATTATGTCCCTTGTGGTTGACTGACAAAGGAACTCATGAATCCTGAGTTCCTCTAGTGATGTGGAAAATCAGTGTTGTTTTCTGGATAAATATTTGTTTTAATGGGGAGAATAAATATTAACTTTAGAGGATATATTGCATTTCCTGTGTTGCTATATCAGGTTACGCTGTCAGTCGCTGCCAAAGTTCACACTGACATAAAGGCGACCTGGGTCTAGGCCTTAAGTGCCTAATTCTGTGATGGGCCTCTGATTCAAGGAAGAAATTAAGTACCTGCTTAATTGCTAACAAGTCCTTGAGCCCTATTGAAGTTAATGGAATTTAATCACATGCTTGAGCACTTCCTGAATATGGACACTTTTCTGACCTGGGCCCTAAATCCCAAAGGAAGGTCTCAAGCCTCAAAATATGTAGCAGTTAGCAAGTTGAGCTGATTGTAATGGCACAGCCCCGTTACCCTTGATATGTCTTATAAGGAATGGCAGAGAACAGTTTTGTGCAATATGTCACAGAATATGTTTCACTGATACCATTTTTACTAGTTTCTTCTAAAAGGAAATGTAGTGAAATTTCAGATTAATATTTGAATTGGATATTAACTTCAGATTGACTAGAATAATTCCACTTAATTCCTGAACAGGATCTCTAGTCTGGCTATGTTGACTGTAGTGATACTGTTGGGAATACAATCATGCATTAAGCAAATCCACGTTAATCTACATTTACTAAACAGTGTCATGACTGAAAAAGACTAAGGGTTTAAATTTTCCAAAGCACCAAAATCTCATTGGAAGAACATGGGATGTAGGTTCCAAAATGTTTGAAAATTGGACTGACTTAGTATTCAGGGCCAGATCCTCAAAGGTATTGAACTGCTTACCTTTTATTTAGGCTTTTGATTTATTATTGATTCTTTTAGGGATCTGGTTATTAGGCACTTTTAAACATTTTATCCTTAATTTTTAAATAAACATGTATGGGATCATTTTTATACTGTGCAGTACCATAGACACAGAATAATTGTGTACTCGTACCTAGAGCATGATCTTGCAACTGTTGCTGAAATAGGTCATTTTAAATTTAGTGGAGGTGAGTTGCATGGTTGTGTGGAGATAGAGAAAACTGTACAATCAACAGATACGTATAAAACTATTCATTTTGTCAATGAATCATGCAGCAAATCTATAAGTATGTCAAAACCTGAAGCTCTTATGACATTTAAACTATCTAAGCAATAGGATCAAATTTTTAGCAGTACTTTCTAGAGCAGCCAATTTATTCATGCCTATCTTCAGCCAGGAGAAATGTTCAGATGAGTACTCTTCCTTCAAGTTGCCCATTAAAATGAAATCACCTAAAGTAAACCAGATGGAGTGATGATGAAGAAAGTTGAAGATGGTGATTCTAGAGTTAGCACAAATTCATCTGAGTTGTTACTGTCATTTCTTTAGTGGAATTAAATCAGGGATAAGTTTTGTTACAGAATGATGAGTAAGTCTAAATTGAATTCAGTGGTGATTGGCTCAACTCGTAACAGAGCTGAAAAGTGTATTAATAAAGTTAAACAATAAAAAGCAGAAAGTGTAAGGGTTATTTTGAAGGCTCAAAGTAAGAGGAAAACCTAATGTAAATAGGAGAGCTCCAAATAAAATGTTTGTGTACAGTGACTGTCAGAGCATAAAGATTTCTTATCCAAAGGCAAATATAGAGAGGCAGAGCCTTAGTTGGGTATGAATTGCCATAGCTCTATAACTTCAACAGAGTGACAATGATGTTTCAGTGGAGTTATGCCAGCTTGCATCAGATGAGGCTCTGTCCCAAAGTATTGGGCTGAATAGCATTTTTTTTAAATGTTCGTGTCTTTCCAGACGTACATGAAAAATTGTTTTTATTTATTCCCTTTAAAAAAAAATGAAACAGGGCCACCCTGGTCTAAAAGGTGCAAAAGGAGAACCTGCTTATGCTCAAGGTGGCCGTAAAGGAATGAAGGTAAGAATAGTCACATTACAGCAGGAGAAACTTCCATGAAACCCTATCCCATACAGTTATCAGACCACTGGCCTGACGCCTCTATATCAGTTCCAGTGCCAGCAAGAACAACCATCTCAAACTCTGAACAAAGTGTCTCTTACAGATTTGTCCTGCTTTCTGTGGAATAGACTCAGGGTCTTCCATTAAAGATGTAACAGAGAAGAGACCTTTCTTGGTGTCCACACCAGTGGTCTGTCCTGGGTCCCATACATTTAGTATCTTAATTAACAGCTTGGAGGTTGGAGTAGATGCACCATTAGCAATTTAAGTGATGACTCCGGCTGGGTGGGGTAACAAGCACTTCAGAGAAAAGATTAAGAGGCAAAATTATCTTGATTGGGAAAAAATGGTCTGACATAAATCAGACAAAATTCAATAAGGAAAAGTGCAGAATATTACACTTAGGAGTAAGCAATCAAATGTGCACATGCAAAACGAGGAACAGCTGGATAGGCTGCTTTTAAAAGAACTAGGAGGTTATAGTGGCCCACACACTAAATAGGAATATACTGTAATAGCTACAAAAAAGTCCTAATGGTCCATTCAGTTGTATTAACAGCTGTGATGTGTGCTTTGCACAGGGAGCGATTCTTCCACTGTATTCAACATTGGTGAGACCTCCCCTGGAGTATTGTGTCCAGTTTTGGGGTACTGCATTTCAAAAAAGATATATGCTATTTAGAAAGAGTTCAGAGGAACAGCAACAACTTAGAGGTGTAGATTGTAGAAAATATGACAAGTAAGGAAATGTTGGAAGAACTGGGATTATGTAGTTTGGAGAAGAAAAGCCCGAAGTGGGATTTAATAAGTCTTCAAATATAAAAGATTAATGAGCCTAAATTACAACAAGAGAGATTTATGTTAGGCATTAGGGAAGAAGTTTCCATTTATGAGGGTAGTGGAATATATTTACATAACTTACAAAATATAGTATTGTATTCTTTGTAATCCCACATATGTAGATTCTCTTTGCTCAGATGTAAATAACTACAGCTGTCATTCCTCATGGATTCCTCCAATGTCCGATTTAGGCACAACTATCCCAAATGTCTTTCTAATTGCATTTGATCTAATGTGTGAACTGTAAACATATATATTGTCATTGTAATTTATTTTTAATTTTAGGGTGAAAATGGTCTTCCTGGATTAGATGGGATTTCTGTAAGATACTGAATTTAATTTTTTTGGAATTGTGATTCTATGAGTATTACATAGCAGCATAATGTAATGATATTTTATCTCAGTTCCCTCCTGTTAGTAACTTTTTCCATTAATTGTCATGGGTCCATTTTTCCACTCAGTAAAGCCAGATTCTGAGAAGCAAGTGTCAGTCTTAATAAAATCCATCAGTTTCAGTAGATTCACACTATGGTAAAGGCAATGAGATTTTGGCCATCACTGACTCAGTTTTATATTTAAACCAGACTTTCTTCTAATACTAAATTCTGGAACTAGGATTTTCCAGATAAACGAACACCATGATTTCAAATGCATTGCTGTATATTTTAAATTGGGACATACTGTCAAAGGATTTGGCCTCTATTTTTTGAGACTCACCCTCCAAATTCCTTTATATTCTGTTGTTCTTTTAGCTCCTCTTCCTTTCTTCTTCAGTTATTATTCTGTTACTGAGAAGTTTCAAGGGACTCTGTCAAACAGCATTTGCCTTTGAATTTACATTTTATAAAAACAAGTCTTTATACAAACTTGGTGTTAAAGGAATTTTTTTAACATGTTACTATGTCACATGCCCCTAACATTTTTGGAAGGGAAGTTACAAAGTAGTGGTTCAGTGCCCTTTTAAAGATACTCATCATCTTGCCTAAGGTACTGACAACCCTGTATGATGGAGCTCAGAGACTGACAAAGAAAATGCATAGGCTTGGGGGAAGAGGTTGGGGTTGGTTTTTTCGGTTAATAACTAGCAACTAGCCTTTAAATTATTTTCTTGTGTCTATAATTACTTGGGGCCATACTGATCATAACGGCCACAACTGGATAAGCAGGATTTAGGAGATGAAGTGTTATGTTTTTTAATATACATCCTGAAACTTCTTTTGTAGGGTCCAAAAGGTTTGCCAGGCCCAGCAGGTTCTGCAGGATCTATAGGATTGCCAGGCTTGCAGGTAAGGAGGCCTTAACCATGGAATTTAACGTTGCCAATAACACTGTGCAAAGCACAGGTTGTTTTACATGATTGCCTGTGTTTATGTCCCTAAAATGGTTTATTTTGAAAACCTTTGCCAAAATGGTGGTTTGGCTACAAAAACTTCAGAGCTCTGAAAGCCATGGCCTTGGAAAATCTATTAGAAACAAGAATGGTGTCAAATTTGCAATGAAAGGATTTCAAACTCCTTGTTTTGGTGAACCTATGTGAAATAGGTTGGCAGACTCTTATGTGAAATCCAGTATTGGAATCATTGTGAAGGTTTGGTCACGTAAGTACAAACTAGTCAGACAGCATGATGTTATGCGTAATGTTTGGGTCTTTTGGATCTGCTGTAAAGAAAAAAATGAATGTTGGTATAGAAGGGATTGCAAAGGAGTACAGGTATTTGTACACTGAAAATACTTTGGAATTCCACGTTTAAGGGAAGCAGTGCTGTGTGGAATGGTTGATGCAGTTGTTACCAGTGATAACAGAACTGAGTGTTAAGACTTTCTGCAAACACTTTCATGTCTTGTGTACATTACAGTTTAGAGTGGCTCCTGTTCTTGGTAATAAAATGGAATATGGGCATGTTTGTGGATTCAGGGCGTAAGTTATCAAAGAAAATCCCATGACAGTGGTTCATTCATAAAACTGCAAGAAGGTTTCAGTTTTACTTGCATGAAAATTCACTAACCCTAAAACATTTTTATTATCTTTATGAAAAGATTAAAATCTTGGGCCTTGGTTCTGATCACATTTTTAATTTTAACTTATCAAAATGGCAGAGGGATTTGTTGAGCAGTACTGGGTGTTGTGTTAAAAACCCAGGCTTTGTTCATGTTGTTTGCCTCTAAACTCAAGTTAATAATGAAAACCTTGTTCACATGTAGGGTCCACTGGGTCCACCAGGGCTACCAGGGCCAAAAGTAAGTATCTTCCCTTCATCCAATTTATTTTATTTTTTTAAATCATTGGACAAAAAGCATTGGGCTAGGATTTAACAAAATGTAACACAAGCCATGTGACCAAGTGCCGTTGAAGTCACATGCCAAAGCATTTACTGAATCGTTATCCCATGTGGTGGGGATGCTGCTGCTATCGTTGTTATTTTTTTAATAAATTGGTCATTCCTTTTTCCTCAGGGTAACATGGGATTAGGTTTCCAGGGGGAGAAAGGAGAAAAGGTAAGTGGAACTGATTCTCTTTTAGAGAAAGCTAATAAATAAATCCCCTAACACTACATGAGCATGCTAGAAGTGTTTTGTACCTGAACTCTCACATCTGGCCTCCAGAAGTTGTTTAGGTATTACTGTTTTCTTCCTATGTAACAGTGCAAGATAAGTCACTTCATGAGGATTTTGCCCATTTGTTATTCCTCATAACCCAAATACAGCTCTAGTTGCGGTTATGGGAGGATTTGTGTGGGTGGAAAAAAGGAAAGAAACTCTCATTTCAATAGCTGTCTCCGGTGTCCCTGGGACTTTTGAGAAGTTCTCCAACTTCTGCCCCTATTGAAGTCCTTGCCAAGTACTTTTGAAGATCCCACCCAAACTGGTCAGTTGTCAAGAAATATAAGAGGTTATTTTAAGACTGGACATTTCCTGTCCTTCCAAAAATGTCTTTTCACGTTGTCTATTTCTTGCTATTTTGTGTCAATTACACATCAGCCTTTCTACTTGGCTCTTGCCTTTCTCCCATTTATGTTGCTCTGTTTTGTATTTGGCTTCAAGACCTTGGTGGAATATTTTTCCTTTGCTTGGTAACTGGCCTATTTTTCTTTCTATCCTTCCTCTTCTCCCCCTTCCCTTACAATCCAACTGGTTTAATGCACTGCATTATGTTTGTGTTAATTTTCAGTCCTTATTAGTTTTCATGGCTGAATTCCTACAGCAGTCTTCTGGTTTAAAGTATTTTGTGTTGCATGTGAAGGTGGTGATTTGAATGGATTTCTGTGACTCAGGGGCCACTTACAGTAGATCTAAGATGTTTCACTTGTATTACTACCTTCCTCTTTTGCCAACAGGGAGATGTAGGGCTGCCTGGTCCTCCAGGCCCCCCACCATCCACTGGTATCCTAGAGTTCATGGGATTTCCTAAAGGCAAACAAGGGGATCAGGTTTGTAAATACAGCCAAGCTAGAAACAATTCAGAATTCCCTCCTTTCCTTTTCTGTTAATGCTGAGTGAGGCAGATAGATAAGCCTTGAGCTGATAAAGTCCTAAGTGGATTGGTTCACAATGATGCATGCAAACTGAACCACATGGATTAGGGTTGGTTTTTTTTGGTGGGGAGGGAATAAAAATGAAATACCCCTGCAGCTATGATTGGAAGGTGAAATTAGGGGAGCTTCCAAAAAAGGAACATTTCTCTTTGGGTTGCACAGCTTTTCGTACTCCCCTTAGTCTCCAGCAAGCTCTGGATCTCAGTGAGGAAAGATTCTTCAACTTGCTTATAATTCTCTATGGAAACAAAGTACCTCTGCCTCAGAACAACCAGCTGTCTGTTTTCTAAACATTTGATCTGATCCAATTTCTGTTGAAGTGAAGGGAGATATTCCTTAAGACTTGAGTGGTCTAGTGTAAGCAATAGTTGTAGCAGTTTCTTTACTAATTGGCTCTATTTGCTGTGAGCTGAGAAACATATTGTTGGTAACATACAATTTAAGGTCTTTTTTTTCTCGGGAAAGGGAAAGACAGCCACAGGCCTTTCTCTTCTGAGAGTGTTCAGAATTGTAAATTATAGGTTATAAATCTGGTGTGAAAATTAAATTAAATGTAGTGACTCTTTCTCAGTCCTTTCCTCCTCTTTTTTTTAATGGCAGTTCTGTAGGCAGGGAAGGCAAACTGATGTCCAATTGTGCAGGTCTGTAAATGATTCACTGAGCTAAGTTCACTTCTTGCCTGGTAAAAGGAAGAAGATAGAAACCTGATGGATAAATGGTTTTGCTCAAGTATTTAAATTGCACTTGATGCCTCACTGCAATACAGTGTGTATTAAGTTTCCCAGAAGGTGGAACATTTAAGTTAGTCATACCCAAGATTCAAAGTGCTAGTCAAACATTCGAAGTGAAGAACTACAGCTCATTTCTGCTGGATCTGTGAACTGTGAAACCAGGTTAACCCAAGCAGAAATCCAAATACTTTAGGAAAATAAGGAAAGAAGAGTGAAGTATCTTCTGGTTTTGCTATGATGCAGACTGGTTAGAAATAATCAGATGTGCTTGCTTGTGTTATCCCAGGCACTTATGGACTTACTTATTTCGCTATCCAGTATTTCTACAGATTCAAAATATCGGGGGTTAATGAGATCATCTTTACTCAGCCTGCCATCCTGCATGTTGTTTTAGGGCTGCAAGATTTGATCCTTGCGTACGCTGGTTTTAGGCCTGGTTCTGTTATTGTCTTCAGCCATAAATGAGAGAGCACTTTGCGGTATTGGCCATCAGCTTTTAATTGGCCTTCCCGGTGTGGCATGGATGTTATAACATTTCACAGGAGTTGGGGTGTTGGATAATTATAGAAGGTGCAAAAAAATTGAAAATTGCTTTCAAGGATTGGAGCAAGACTCTTTTTTCACTGTCATCCCCTCTTATGACTCTCACTCTCATTTCATTCTTGGCAGGGTGAGCCAGGCCCAAAAGGATTCCCTGGGATTATAGGACTGCCTGGCCTGCCGGTAAGGTTGAACATCTGGGGAAAAAACAAAGTCTTAATAAATTCCACTGGGAGTTTAAGCATTTCAGTGCTTTTGAATACCTGCTTGGTGCTTATCTGCATCCTTAAACACCAATAGGCTTGTAAATCTGACCCAAAATCTTTCAGGATTTGTCCCCAGAGTGGAAATTTGTCTAGCTACTCCTCCTCTGATAGTTGTGAGATAATGGCGCTGGTCCACTATGACTATTGCAAAGCCTGTTTTCATTTTGTTGCTTGATCTGCAGTTTCTCCAGTTTCTGTAGATAAATTAATTCACTTCACAGAGTGCAGATTTTCATGCGATCTCGTCCCTGAAACTGCTCTACAGCCATGTCATAACACACGTGCGTGGCTGCAGAGCATTTTTTAAATGGCCAATCCTGTGAAAAAGTAACCTTTGTTCAATCAGGTAATAAATGAAGGCACTCTAAATTAGAGCGCCTTAGGCTGGGGCATGCAAAATACAGCCTGCGGGCCAGATCCAGCCTGCCAGGCAACTTCATCTGGCCTGCAGCGCCTACTTCCAGCAGCGTCCCAGCAGCTGCAAATGGCAGTAAGGAGTGGGGATGGCAGCTGGGTCCATTGTGCAGGGCTTCACCCCAGTGGCGCATGAATGCTGGGAGCTGCATGCATGCCATAGGGAATCATGTGCAATAGAGGCAGGCGAGTCTGGCTCAGCTCCTTGCCACCACGCGCAGGTCCCGGAACTGGCTGGAGCCACGTGCTGCCAGGCGGCAGTGCCTCCCCCGGCCACAAGCACCTCAAGGGGCTGCCACCTGCTGCTGCCACGGGGGGGGGGAAGTGAATGGGGGAGGTACATACACACCCCACACCCTTCCCCCACAACCTCCCACATATGCACCTGCAACATCCCCTATGCCTCCCCACACACATAGCCACACATCCCACTATACACACCCACCCCCAACCACACTGCACACACAATATACAAGAGTAAGACCTGTACTTTTGAGCTATTATGCACTCACCTCTATATACACTATGCAAACACAAATCATGACAAAAATATTTTTTGAAATAAAATTGATATATGTTGTAGTAGATGTTTGAATTTTAGTGTATGATTTGGGTTGATTTTTTTTTTTTTTTATTCCAACATGGGAACCCCCCCCTCCCAAAAAGGAATACTTCCTGGGGACAAGGAGAGGGACTACCAGTGGCAAAGGTTAGGGTATAAGACTTCCAGTCCCAAGATGGCATAGGCGAAACGTAGCAGGAACTCAGGGGGTACATGCCCCCCCACCGAGATTGCCTGCTGCTGAAGGTGCCACCAGCTTCTGCGGGCAGTTGCCGCTCACACCCACTCACCTTGCTCTCAATGTGGCTGGTGGTATCTCCTGGTGGTTCCCATTCACCCTGCCGCCAACACGGTGGCTGTGGGCTGTCGCCACTCACTGCTGCTGACATGGATGCCAGTGGCTGCGTGCAGTCCCTGCTCATTGCCATGCTGCCCCCCCAGTCTCGGGAGGCATCAGTCATTTATGCAAGATGGTGACCAAAGGGTGGGGCACCTGCCAAGGGGCAGGGCTACCTTTGCCACCCTCATCAGCTCACCAAAACTCATTAAGCAGCCCATGACCTGAAATAATTGCACACTCCTGGCCTTAGGGAACTTGTATACAGTCCCCTCGGAGGGTTACCTGTCATGCCCCTGGTTTGCCATAGGGAGGAGGTAGAGAGTCTTCATCCTGTACAGCCAGGGAAGGAAGGAGAGTATGGCCATCAGGGGTAGGGGGGACCCTGGCCATCATTGCCACCCCTGGAGAGGGGA